CCACTTCCTAGAGTCGTGATCCCTACTTTTTCGGAGTCTAGTCGCCCGCAAGGCATGAAACGAAGAATTCTAGATGCTGCACCTCCTTCCCCTCGTCATAGGATGACGAAACGCTCTCGTAACGCGTTCACCGCCAGGAGAAACTGCACTGGCTGGCCATGTTGGAGTCACAGCCTGACCTCAGCATCCGTGGCTTGGCAAAGCTCGCCAAGGTGCAGCCCAAGCAAAATCCGCGAGTGGAGGCGACTCAAGGAGCGTCTCGAGGTCGCCGCTGGTTGTCGCCGACGTCTTAACGGTGGAGGGCGTAGGGCGAAGTGGCCCCTGATGGAGAAAGCAGTTTACCGCCAATTCTTGGCGCACCGTGCCAAAGGATTGGCGGTGTCGGTGAGCCTTCTCCGCAAATGGGCATCTCAGTACATGAAGCACCGTCAGCCTACCGCCGATTTTCGCGCATCGGCACGTTGGACCTTTCGCTACCGCGTGCGGTGGTCGTTGGCGCAACGCGTGAAGACAAAGATGGGGCAAAAACTAGCCGCCGGTGAGCAAGCTGCCTGTCACCCCCCTTGCACTAACGGTCTAGGTAAAATGCTATCTAACGCATGTGTCGTTGTGTGTTTAACAGACTGCAGGGAAAGGTGGAGTCCTTCTGGGAATTCGTCCGCCAGATGCGCATGGTTCATCGCTTTCCCCTCAACCTCATCGTGAAACGCTGACCAGACCCCGCTCTGGTTGGAGATGCCGGCGGAACGCACCCTCGAAATGAAAGGCGCCCGCACGGTGCATGTCAGGACGGCGGGTACGAGAAGGAGCGTGTCACTGTCATGTTGGCAGTGACGGCTGACGGCCTGAAGCTTCCCCCGTATGTCATCTTCAAGCGGAAGACGGTGCCACGAATCGTGGTGCCACCAGGTGAGCCCGATGTGTTTCCGTCGTTGATTCCTTATGTTCCTCGTTTCTCCGTTACTAATTTCCAGTTGTGGCGTGTGCAGGAATCGTCATCCGCGCCCAAGAGAAGGGCTGGATGGACGAGCGCCTTGTCCAGGATTGGACAACACAGGTGCTCGTCCCCTTCTTGAAGCCGTTTGCGGGACGAGGGCGGACGGCGCAAGCAAGCGCTCCTTGTCTTCGACTCGTACAAGGGGCACCTGACGGAATCCGTGGGGCAAACTCTGAAGATGTTTAAGGTGACGCGTGCCGTCATCCCTGGCGGTTGCACCCCCCTGGTGCAACCGCTTGATGTCTCCATCAACCGCAGTTTCAAGTGCGGTGTTCGCCACCGCTACAGCACGTGGTTTGAGGAGGTCGGGATCAGCAAACGACACGTGCAGGTGAGTCGTGGTTGACTTGTGAGCTTTAAGATGACTAGGCAGCATTAAATCCACTGCCTTTACATCTCTGCCGTTCATCCTTCTTGTGAACTCCAGGGAACTTGAAGAAGCCCCCCCCTGAAGTGATCCTGAAGTGGATCGTCGAGTCATGGGCTGATGTGCCAAGAGGAGCTGGTGAAGAAAGCATTCCTCACCTGCGGCATCTCCAGTGCCGAAGACGGGAGCGAGGATCATCTGATCCTCGCTCACCTGCGGGACAAGGCGGAAAGTGGAGGTGCTGGAGGATGTGCTGGACGAGGGGGAGGACGGGGTGAACCCCAACCCGTTCTACGAAGACCCCTCGCACGCCCCTGAGCCCGCCGCCACCAAGGACGACGAGGCAGAGGACGAAGAGGAAGGGCTTGCAGGGGAGGAGGCTGTGGTGGGTGCTGCTGCCGAGGAAGGGGATGTGATGGCTCCGGATGAGGAGGGGGATGAGGCAGATGCAGAGATGGGAGGTGCGGACGAGTGGAGTGAGGATGGAGACGACTGGTGGGCAGCAGGCCGCTATGAGGGAGAGGAAGTGGAGGAGTGGGTTGCAGGCGAGGATGAGTGACTGTTTTTATGTTGTTCTCACCCCTTGTTGCCCCCTAAATCTCTGAAATGCAAACTGTGAATAGGTTGCATTGGTGTCAAACTTGTCTTGCTAGTGAAGCACTTGAAAAGACATCTTATTTCCATTATAAACTAGTGACAACCATAAGGGGGGGGGTCTAGTAATGATTACCCCCTCTAGGGGGGGGTATAGTGAAAACCTGCCAAAATAAAAGACCCACCCCCGTAATACAGACCCGGGGGTCTTGTATTCCGGGGGGTCTACTATCCGGGAGCTTACGGTATAGGACTACCCTGACGAATTAGTGTTTAGGTGTACCAGTAACACTGAAGCATCAGTATAGTGTACTGAGTCACACTGATTCGGACTTACCAAAATGTGTAGGGTACAGTCAGTGGGGTGCGAGTACAAGGGGCTTTAGGCCCAAAATCCCAGCCACATACCAGCAAGCCTCTCACACACGGGACTTGAACCTGGGACCTTTCCGGTAATAGGGCGAAACCTTAGACAGCTACGCCAGTAGTGCTGGACTCGAGATGTAAATTGTTTTACTACACTTATATTTCAGTTAGCCATGAAATTCTACCCCTGACAAAATCAGCATTAAACTTAACCCCCAACGCTGATTGGTCACGACTTTGGGCAGGGCACGCTGATCCATCAGCATACCCTGAAACCAATCTGAGGGCCTGCTCGCGACACTCCCCTCGACTACATTTCCCGCCACCGTTCACATCACGGCCCCAACCTCACGGCTCGGCTGGTAACCCGCGCTCCGGCCCCTCCGCCTCGACAATTCCCAACCTCGGCGCCAGGCCTGTCGCGCAACCCACGATTCGCTCGTTACCATTACCACGCTAGTTCGCTATTTAACTTCCGCTCATACTTCGCTCGATGTACTGTTTTGCTTCGATAGTGCAATCATCGTTTGGTCGCCTCAATTGCACTCGTAACACTTGGGATCAGAGCCACGACCCTTTTTTCGGACTGCCTCCACACCTTCGCTTTTCAAATTACCGTAACTCATTTTTTTTGGGTGGGTGGGGGGGGAGGGGGAGGGGGGGAGTAGACGTCCCTCAACGACCAAGCACCGCTCTTCGTGTGCACTCTCGTAAGCATATACAGCTATGACCGAGGCTCTCGCTGAGCTAGCACGACACCCCCGCCATGGACGAATCCGGCAACATTCTGCTCACGACCTTGACGCAAGAGCGTCTCGACGAGCTTATGCTCCAGCTGGAGGAATCAACGCTCGAAATCGCGACACTCAGAGCGGAGCGTGATTCCGCACTACAGCAATCAACGGCGAACGCACCAGCACAAGCACCAGTACATGCACCTGCACAATCTGAAGAGCCAATTGTCATCTCATCTAGAACGTCATCGCAACACGACAGTGTGGGACAACGCTCAGGCGCAATTAGTGATGGCGCCGCCCAATCCATGCCGGGGATCGAACGGACCAAGGAGGCACCAGGCGCCAATACACCTCGCGAAGCCTGGCGTCACGTCAGCATTGCGACACCCGTCAGCAACAGCGACATTGGTGAGCCAATGCCACTCAAGCTGCAGCGCCTGCCCTGTTTCGATCTTATTCAGCGTGGAGGTTCGACGGATCAATCCCGGGTGTTCACAATGAACGCATGTTTTTTACACGAATTACGTCACGTCGGATGCAGCGAAGATCCGGTACGTCGTATCCTTGCTGCGGGCCAGCCATGGACTGGTGGCGAGTTATCGTGACGTCGTCGAGCGCCTATGAGCCACCATCACAAGGGGAGAGGCCCTCGGGGCCAGCCGTAACATGGAGTTCGTTCTGCGAAGTCGCCCAATACATCACGTGGGATGCGTGGTGCGCAGGGCTTCGGGCGCGCTTCGAGCCGATCGCTGCTTTGATCTCAGCACGCCAGAAGCGCGCGCTTGGCGGAAACTCGGGTTGGTTCAATATTACAGTAGCGGTTTCCTCGCGCTGTGTGAGCAGGTCGGCTACATGCACGAAGCGGAGCGAGTGGATCGCTACGTCCGCGGCTTGAAGCCGGAAACCTTGCAAGAAATCATTCTTCGCGGGATCTCGAACTTCAATGAAATCCTGGCGTGCGCGGAGAAAGTCGACATACTACGCCGTTCGAGGCCCGGGTCCTACTACATACATCGTACTCGGGGAACGACCGAGCATGCCAGTGTACACGCTATCGCAACGAATGCAGCTGTCGCGCCATTTAAGGGGGGCTGCTTCGCGTGAAGCAGGCCGGGCCACCGCAAGAGCAAATGCCCAGAGGAGCTAAGGCGCCGAGGAGCAAAGTAGGGGAGGGAGTCTGGAAGGCAGGGAAACGCTAGCAGTCAGCAGAGTACGGGCCCAATACTGACGAGACTCACTGCTCGCCCGAACACACTGACCCTCACCTAGTGACTGTAACGATTCACACAATCGATCGGGCTCGGCTGAATAAGGAGGGTACAGCGACAGATTGCCCATTACTGATTCACAGGAAAATGTTATAGTCACAATAGGCTTGAATGTGCCTAAAACGAAAGATAGAGAGCACAGACGGATTTCTGCACAGCGGATTCAAACGTTGACAGCGTTCTGCTCACAGCTGCAAATGACTTGATTCAAATTGGATCTGGAGCGTCTTCACGTCGTCTACAATTACCAATTTAGATTGCACGATTTGATAAAGAATTGACGACACAGCGTCGGTTTGAACGAACGGTACTATGGCAGCCACTATAGTCTTAGAACACAAGATAGGAAGAGTTACGAGTTGGGAATGACTCCCAGCTCCTACAAACCCCAAGAGCCGAGGTACAGTGATGTGTAACAGTGCCACACTGTCCCCAACCACGAAGGGTCTCGAAACTACCCTTCACTAGGGCCTACACCAAGTGAAATGTTACACTACACAAAGTAATGTAACTATCTTCAATATCTTGAGGTGTACCCTTTTGGCGAGCTTCGAAATCACTTGAGGCTTGACACCAAGGCTCGGGCTCTTCATCACAAACTCATCCTTGAGTTCTTGATGGGTCTGCTGCACACACCTGCGACTCGCCGAACGTTCGACACAGGACAGAATAGAAACCGCGCACGACAAAATAGAAACCCGCGCGCGAGACACAAACGACCGCGTAACACGCGTCTAGCGATAACTCGCTATTGACTCGACACACACACTCGACATCATGACTCAACATTCACACACAATTATAAGCATGAAATATATATTATCCCATGCCCTCATACCATTCCATACACACACACATTCACGCACACGGACAACAAGCCAAGTGCAAACCGTAGGGTTGCACCAACAAACTCCCCCCTCGGATTGTTGGCCTTAGGATATGTTGCTCTCTCAGTTCAGAGCCATCCCAGCCAGCTTGCAACACTTCCAATGCTGCTGCTCCACCAGCCTCTTGGTCATCATGTCAGCCGGCTGCCCCGTGGTCTTCACGTAGCGCAACTCAACTTCACCCGCGGTTACCATGCTCCTCGTCCAATGCCACTTCATGCTCATGTGCTTCGTGAGTCCATGCAACACAGGGTTCTTAGCAAGAGCAATGGCACCCTGGCTGTCACAGTACAGTGGGGTAGGTCCTTGCTGCTCCTCCCCCAATTCAGAAAACAAACGCCGCTGCCACACAATCTCCCGTACGGCACGGAAGAGTGCCATGTACTCGGACTCCACCGAGCTCAAAGCTTGGTCAACCTGCTTCTTGCTCTCCCAAGCAGTTGGGCCTCCACCAACACAGCATATGAAGCCTCCCACACTTGTCATGTCCTCTGGTTCTGATGCATATGAAGCATCCGAGTAGGCGGTGAGGAACAAACGCCCGGGTTCAACACCATCCGCGCCCTTTTGGCGCCTTTGTGCCGCCGCCGAGTATTGCAGCCCAACGGTCGGTGTTTGGCCAAGATACTTGGCCACCCTCATTCCAGCTGCTACCTGCTCCTCATTAGGGCATTGCACAACCCTAGCCAGCTGCCCGGTAGCAAACGCGACGTCCGGTCGGGTGTTTACCGCCGCATACATGAGGCTGCCCACCAACGAGTGAAATCGGCGCCTCTCCTCTTCACCAACGCTCTCCTCCTCTGGTCCCTTCACACACTTGAACCCAGAGGGAAAGGGTGTAGCCACATGGCCTTCACTCTGCCCAAAGTTGGCAGCCAATGCCTCCAGGTACTTTCGTTGATGCACCCGCATGCACCGCTTCTCCACATCTCGTTCGATGTGGAGCCCAAGGTAGAAGCTCACGTCACCAAGGGCCTTGCACTTGAACTTGTCTTGAAGCTTCAGCATCACCTCCTTCACAAGGTCAGAAGAGGGTGAGAAAATGAGGATGTCATCCACATAAACCACCATGAAACCCCTCTGCTCCCCCTCGCCAAGCATGAACAAGGAGTGATCGGCCGTTGAGGGAGTGAAGCCGATCCCCTCCAACACTTCGCGCAGCTTCATGTACCATTGCCTAGGGGCCTGTTTCAGCCCATAGAGGGCCTTCTTCAGCTTCCACACTCTGCCACTACCATCATCAAACCCCTCTGGCTGCGCCATAAAAATCTCCTCCTCAAGGATGCCGTTAAGGAATGCCGTTACGATGTCCATTTGCTTTACTACCCATCCTTTGATGGCGGCTCCCGCGAATAGGGTTCGCAGCGTCGTCGGCTTCACCACAGGGGCAAACAGCTCCTTGAAGTCCACCTTCTCCTTCTGCTGGTACCCCTTGGCTACAAGCCTAGACTTGTAGCGCTCGATCTTGCCGTCGGCATCCGACTTGATTTTGAAGAGCCACTTGGACGTTATCGCCGTACGCCCCTCCGGTAGCTCCACCAATTCAAACGTGTCATTCTCCTCGATGCTCTTCAGCTCACTCTCCATGGCCTTCTTCCACTCCTCAGCATCACTACTCTCCAAAGCCTCCTTGAGAGTTGCTGGTTCTCCCGGCATCTCCACCGGAGAGAAGAACGCGAAGGCACACTCCTCGTAGTCACTCTCCTC